ATGTGGAGGCATAATTGTAATTTTCAATCACAGGTGTACCTGAGGCGTGCATTTACAATCGTATATGTGCATGCATGTGCATGTATGTGAGAGGTGGCTTTAAAATTTTGGAGGCTGTTTTTTACTGATTTCATCACATTTTTTTTTAACCCTTTCACTGCCGAGGCTGTATGGTGTATGGACCTACAGCACTGCTTCCAGCAGCTTAGGTCTGTATGAGGTTTGGACTTACATTCCTCCTCTGCTATAAGCTTATGGTCACTCACTGGGAGATCTGTCAGTGACAGATTAAGATTAGGATGGAGATCTTTCCTGAATGAAAAGATCACTGGCAGATAGTAAATTATGCTTATTATGTGTCAATTTGTGAATGGCTAGGAGTCTCTCTACAGACTCCTATCTCATTCATTACAGTGCAGCTCAGGATACAGAGAATGGAACTGTCTTCAGTCCCTTTCTCTGTATCAAAAAAAGAGACATTAGGGGTCTTTTTAAGCCTCTGATGTCTCTCCAAAGCGCCCCCTGACACAAAAAAATATGTAAAAGTATTAAAAAAGTACAAAACCTAAAAAAAAATTGTAAAAAATAAAATTAAAAAATGTTATTAAAATAAAGCAAACGTTTAAAAACCTAGTAAGGGTAGATTTAGACGTGAGTCTAAATCACCCTTGCCACTGATCGCACTTCAAAGGCTACTGATTGGCGGTGAGGAAGTGATTCAAAGTCTTTTAACCACTTGTTTAAACCCCATTTTTGCCAACAGTTTTGTGTATGTTCAGTTTTCACCATTTCACAAAAAGGTACAATTTATAATTTACAAATATTTGTTATTTATTAAATCTATTTTATGTTTATTTGGCATTTATCCCAAATTATGTAAAATGTATTTAACAAAAATATTGATTTGATAATTGATCAAATATCAAGGGGCCTTAAAAATCAGTGGCACTTTCTTTTTATTCTACTGGTCATGTACTTTCAGAAAAAGTATGGTTTTGGGGGGTATTTTAAAAACTCTAAAAGCTATAAAGGAAAAATAAAAAAGCAATGGAAAAAGTGCAAAATTGGTCTGGCCATGAGTTTAAAAGTGGAGAGCAGGTCCTGGCAGCAAAAGCTGAATCACTTATGTAGAAGAAAAGTTCTACAACCCTCATAACATATTCCAGGAGGAGTATAAATCTTACCGTGCCATTCATGCGGTCTCTGTCCACTCAGCTAGATATGTCAGTCATGTAGGGTCAGCAACAAGTCGGGAATACATTGTATTATTATTATTATACAGTATTTATAAAGCGCCAATGGTTCGCTCAGCGCTGTACATTACAAAGGGGGACAGAACATGTGACAGAACAATACCAATACAATGCAAAACATGAGGGGATCGAGGGCCCTGCTCTTTCGAGCTTACAATCTAGGAGACTGTAGAAACTTTATTTTGAATGCAGAGTTCCAGGAGACAAGCAACACTAGCATGTTTCAGCGTAGGTCTTGTTTGACTGAAACGCAGTAGTGTAGTGTTGCTCATCTCCTGGAATGTTTTATACTCTGCATTCGAAATAAAGTTTCTACAGTTTATTCCCATTTTGTTTGTGACCCTACGTGATTAACCTGGCAGCAAAAGGGTTAAACCTTTTTTACTTATCTTCATTGCAATCATATAATGTGCTAAAAACCCAATATGTGATAGCACAGGGGAACTGATTAGACCACTAATGTTCTATTAGACCACTAATGTCATCTCTGTACCCCATTGCAGTGGTATAAAGCACAAATTGTACTTGATTAACTTTTTCCCAAGACACAGCTGCCAGGGAATGATGGTGCTGAAACCAAACGTGATAAAAAGCGTGTCACTTCCAGCATTTTTTCTACATCAGGCTGATCAGCGAGTTGATGTTCATTAGTTGTTCTCTTCTCTCCCTGCTGATACCTTCCATGGACATCCCTGGCACTCAGGAAGTATTTTGGAGACAAGGATACATGTCCAGGGAATCAGGCTGAGAGGGAGGGGTGTGTTAAACATTCTATAATGTAAACAGACACCCAGTGGGTATAACCACTAGGAGTCTGATTACATGTATTGATGACAACAGATGACATACATTGTGGTGGTGAAAGAGTTAAACTTTTTACAAGGCCACTTTGTCAAGAGGAAATAGAACTTGACCCGTTGCACACACAGTAACGTATATCTGCCCAGAAAAATACTTTAGGAAGTGTACAAAATCTGCTATGGAAAAGTGAAAAATTTACACATTTACAAAAGGAAAACATTTTACAAGTTAAGTTGCATGGGTATTTTCCCAGAGCCTAGCAAATGAGGTAAAGCTCTGGTGACTTCTATCATCCAATCATTTGCAAGCACAAATGCTATTTTTTTTTATTTTCCTTGCAAATATTTGGGTATTCTTTGCAAAGTGAAATGGCATCATAGTCATGCAGCTTTGGGAAAAATGTCCTTGCACAGTGCAATTTCACTTGCCTGTTTGCTTTTAGTAAATCAAACACAGTGTCTCTATATAATTTTGCAATGACTACCAGCATTTAACTGTCCCTGAATAACACTCTAAAATATCTCCCAAATTTGCTGTAACACTTCCAAATAAATTCTGTGGGTGTGCCTGTGACTGCAGGTAGGAATATACACTGCACAGTATATAGATATATTTTCAGCACAAGCTTCTAACTGTCCCTGTTAAAATGCTAAAATATCTCCCTAATCTGCTAGACAACTAGAATTCACTATTTGTGTTGCAGTAAACTGTGTAAATATACAGACATGTCTTCTGATCCATGAGCACTGAGCGCAGCATGGGCACCAACTTTCCCTGCCATCTGTAAACTTTCCTAAAGTACTATATATTTCTTGCAACACACAATGAACAAAGGCTCTGGGGAATTCTGACTTTTATAGGGTGCTGGAACATGATTATACCCCATAATTAGCTCTTCCAAGCCACCTGACCATAGTTCAGACCAGAGTGCATTACTGATAATGGTTCTTTGGTTGGACTCTGCAAGGGTTAAGCAACTAATTTCAGTGTGGATGGAGAAACCCTATCTTTCAAGTGGTTTAGAGACTGACTTACATTGGTCAGCAAAAATGGGATATTTCTGTTACAGTACCGACTTTTTTTTTTTTTCTTTATTGTGATGCTTAATTTGTGTTATCCTACTATTTAGCAATGAAACTAGATAAAACATTGCATTTAAGACCTGTAAGACAACATGTACTATTTAAGGTAAGCATAATGGTTTTTATATACTCTGTAAGTTGGTAAAAAAGTTAGTGTAGCTAACAGTTTTCATTAAAACATCAGCAGAATTGTTCTTTCGGCAGAAAAAGTTTGAGTACATTTGATGATTTCTGATACCTGCTGTATCTAAGTTCAGTGTGTGACATTTCTTTGAATGGGTTTAGTCTGCCTGTTATAAAAGGAACATAGCTGATAAGAGAGATTTTCAAACTTTTTACATTTCACATTGTAAGGTTCTTTAATTTTTTGATCCTGAAACACTAAAGACACACATTTTAATGAGCATGGATGATAGGTGACACCTCTGCATGGCCTTTACCATTGTCATGGGTGCACATTTGTTATAAGCATTTTCTGGAGAAAATCTAGTACGTGCACAGGGGGTTCATGGCATTGCGAAAGTGTATTTCTTTCATGAACAACTCATTACTCAATATAGTAAGTTCATAGGGTGAACAGTAAAATGCATCCATTGTTGAAAAAACCATTAATTTTTGTGATTTTGTGTGAGCAGGATTCTTTATCTGTGCTTGAAGATACAATTTAATATTCTGTCTGGAATATATTATGAGTCTGTTTTGCCTTCATGCACAGTTGAAATGTCAGTCAACCCAACAACTTAAAAACAGTAGGGGGTTTCACTTGACATGGGAAGTACTGTGTAAAATATTCACACTTGTTCCAGTTATATGTGCTTCCTTTAAAGTAAAATATTATTTTGTATTTTAAAACTTAAAAATTAAATGAAAACATGCTCTCTTATATAGAAAAGCACATAATAAACCCAGGACATGTGACATCTTTATGAAGAAATATTTAACCTTTTGTTTGGTGTATAGATTTAGTAATATTATTCTAACATTTTTCACTGTAATCTATTACTTTTGCATCCTGTCATATTCTGTTCTAAATTAATTCCTACTCTTAGAATTTTTTTATGCATCCCTTTTACATGTCAGTGTGCAATGTGGTTATATTACAATATACTGTATGTCATATCTGTTATATAGGCAGGCTATGGTGCATACAGTATAAAGTACTTTATGTACTGATGGCTAAGAATTGTACTTTGTAATCTTTTCTTACAGAAATTACTTTCTTTTTGTCAGTTGGTAAGTAATATGTATCATGTTGAATTCTGTTTAGTTGTTAGAGTCCTGTTCTGCACAAATAGCAGAATTAATACACCTGTTCACCTATAGCAGCTGCCTTCCCCAGTATGCATACCAGTACTCTGATTACTCCAAGACTTGAGGCACAATGCTATATTCACAGCACCAGTATGCTTTCCAGCAAACCTATGAGAGGTAGAGTACATATACCATGACAGATGTTCTTCACTTGTGGAAGAGGTCATGGCAGGCAACGTTTGCTGATGCAACCAGGACTAATGACTGATTGGATGCCAAGAGTACTGAGGTCAGGAATGCCTAAAAGATTTAGCCTGAGGGTAGTAAGTAGAGTGGTCCATATCAAGACAAGAGGTAGGAGGCAATCAAAAAAAGTGATCCACATCCAGGCAAGAGGTCATGGCAGATTGAAATCAAAAGATCATTTAGAGGTCAGGACAGGCTGCAAACAGGGAGGTAGTCCATTACAAAGGAAAGAGGCAGTAACAGGAACTAACAGTGATAAGGAAATGCATGAGGTACAGGAGCTTGATAGCTACATGATATCGCAAGCTCAGAGTCCCATGCTTGTGAAGCTCAAACAGAGTGTCACAGCCAGTGGCGGACTGACAACTCATGGGGCCCCCGGGCAGTAAGAGATAATGGGGCCTCCAGTGTCCCCGCCTAAACTCAAGCACACCCCACAAAACACCCTACCTATATATATATTGCAGCTCAGCTGCATAGAAGGGGCATTTAAATATTTACTGCAGCAAAGACTGCATGAATGTTCCCGGCTTCTGTCCATAGAAGCCACTGGGCACTTTCAGGGTTTAAAGATGGCTGCCATTTGGGGGAAGTGAAAGAGAGAGGGGAGTGAGAGGGTGAAAAAGAGGAGGAGTGTGAGAGAGAGAGAGGAGGAGGAGAGAGAGAGGAAGGGATGAGAGAGGAGGGGTGTGTTTTAAACTGCGCTAAAAATTGTTCATGGCTTAAAAGGGGTTAAATAGTGTCTGAGATTAGTTATATAGTGCAGAATGAGGTAATGTTAAATACGGAATGTACAGTGTGGTGTGTATGACAGTGGGTAGTATGTACAGGGAGAGGAGTGCGGAGTGTATGGCGGTGGGTAGTATGTGTAGGATGGTGTCAGTAGGTGGTGTCAGTAATTCTTCATTTTTATTATCATTATTTTACTTTTTTTTACAATTGTATCAGTTAGTAGATCAATGGCGTGGGTGACAAAATTTTTAAATTTTTATTATCTAATTTTGTAATTATTTTTTATATTTATTTCTGTATTATTTTTTTCACAATGATTTTGTGGGGCAGTAGACAGGGAGGGATGATGGAGGAAAGAAAAGGGGAGGAGGAAGGAAGGAAGGAAGGAAAGGAGGGAATAGATGGAAAGAAGAAGGAAGGAAGGAAGGAAGGAAAGGAAGGAAGGAAGGAAGGAAGGAAATAGAGAAAATAGATGGAAGGAGGAAGGAAATGGATGGAGGAAGGAGGAAGGATAAAAGAAAGGGAGGGAAGGAAGGAGGGGGGGAGGAGGAAGGAAGGAAGGAAAGAGAGGGAATAGATGGAAGGAGGAAGGAAGGAAATGGATGGAGGAAGGAAAGGGAGGGAAGGAGGAGGGGAGGGAGGAAAGAATGAAGGGAGGGGATGGATGAAGGCAGGAAGGAATGAAGGGAGGGAGAAAGGAAGGAAGGATTGAAGGAAGGGGAGGGAGGGGGGAAGGAAGGAATGATTGAAGGACGAAGAGAGAGGGAATGAAAAAATAAAGGGAGGGGATAGAGGAAGGAATGAAGGTAAGGAATTAAAGGGAGGGAGGGAGGGAGGAAGGGAATGGAGGAAGGAAGAAAATGGAGGGAGGAAATGGATGGAAGAAGGATGGAAATTGATGGAGGAAGGAAGGAAGAAAAAGGAGGGAGGGAAGGAAGGAAGGAAGGAAGGAAGGAAGGAAGGAAGGAAGGAAGGAAAGGAAAGGGAAAGGAAAGAGGGAATGGATGGAGGAAGGAAGGAATGAAGGAGGGGGAGGGAAGGATTAGAAGGAAGAAGGAAAGAATGAAGGAAGGGAGGAATGAAGGAAATGAAAGGAAGGAAGGGAATGGAAGGGAGGGAGGAAAGAATGAAAGGAGGGGATGGAGCAAAGGAAGGGGAGAGAGAAAGAGAGAGAGAGAGAGGGGGGGGAGGGAGAGAGAGAGAGAATGCATCACAGAGCTGCCAGCTGATCTGGGCAGGGAAGGCAGAGCAGATCCTCTCTCCTCTGCTCTGCAGTGGAGGATGGGGGGGGGGGAGGGGCTGGGCACTGTCAGAGAAGACGAAGCATCAGAGATCTGCAAGGGGGTGGGGGACTGAGGAGCACAGGGGGGGGGGCCAGGAGGAAAATCTGATGCACAGTCAGGGATGATCGGTGCAGTGGAAGGACAGTGACAGCACCGATCTCCCTGCGTGGATTTCAAGGAAGCAGCTGTAAGTCGTTCAGCTGCTTCATTGAAATCATTCAGGGAGATCAGTGCAGTCACTGTCCTCCACTGCACCGATCACCTCCGACTTTGTTCCTGATACATATCATCCATGGGGGGAAGGGAGGGTGCAGGGTGTGTGCGGTGAACACCCTGGACCCATAGATGATATGCCTCTCACCTTCTTACTGCCCACCGGCTCCATCACCAGCACAGTGTCTGGACCCATCGCCTGACAAACTCTGCCCCCACCTGAAGTGACAGGTGAGCTACTTCTGGGTTGGGATCTGAGACTGCCTCCTCCTCTGCTTCCCACACTGTCATTGGACAGTGATCATCTCACGGCCCCCTACTGACCCCAGGCCCTCGGGCGATGCCCAAATGCCCGAATAGTCAGTTCGCCCCTGGTCACAGCACCATAGCCAATCATAGGGGAAGAAAGAGGATCAGGCAGTGGGAAGTCACTGCCTAGCAACCAGAACACCTCCTAGTGAAAGTAGAGAGGGCTGTTGCTGTCAGTGCAGGGCCCATTGCCTAGCAGCTGCCAAGGTTCAAACAAGGGAAGGAGGAGCAGCCATGTGGCAGTCATAGTGAGAGTGACAAAAGGAACAAATGTAGCTGTGAGTAGAGATGCAGATGGGGCAGCTGAAGTAGGGACTATGTCTCAAGATCCTACCAGATTCTCATGGACCTGGAAAATGCCCTAACTGTGATATTAAAGTGATACAAAAAGTTCTATATCTCAATATTATGCAAAGGAATTACTGTGATTGGGTGAAGGGGGGGGGGGGTGTGCATTGCAATGTTTTTTTAACTTATGTTTTACCTTCTCTGCAGATAAATTCTTTAGGTAACCTACTAGAAGCCTCTACCCTACAGGTTTATTACCTGTACAAACAAATGGCAAGCACCCCAACCTATAACTGGCCTTTGCAGCAAGAAGCACATGGAAGGGCGAGGCATGTCCAATTATAGGCTTAGGTGGTTGCCATTTGTTTGTACTGTTGGTGTATTGGTGAGGGGACACATTGGATACCTTTGCTACCAGTGTGCTATTGCTGGGTGTCCAATGCATCCCTATACCTTTAAGGAGGGGTGGGCTCCCTCCAGGCATACCTGCCCTTAATCTATCCATTATAATATATTTGCTCCAACTTTGGGGACTCTCAAAATTTATAGAGTGAGGACTGCAGTACACTAGGGTGCCGTGACATGACATGGCCTCTGCAATATTTAAAAATGTGTACAAACTAAACCCCATATTTTAATGTGAACTGTTAGTGTTAATTGGGTTTGTTGCAGGCTGGCTGGTAAGTGAGCTAAGAATATTTGTTGTTTTTAATCATGTTTTATTACCGGACAGTAAGAATGCACCCTACAGATACTCTTGGAATAAATTATTACTTGGCACTGTATCTACTATTGAGCATAAGAGAATGAGTAGTGAACAATGCTCTTGGCTAGAAATATGGTGTAAAATGAGCAGTAAAGGATTCATAAGATGATATCCTTGCATTTAGTGTGGGCTAAGAAAGCATAATTTGACACTTTTGATTTAAATAGTTAAGTTTCTTTTCCAATAAAAAATCCTGCTATTTATTTGGCTGTAGGTATTGAAACAGAACTTGAAAATCACCTGAGTCCTTCAGATGATTTTAAAGTGATGCAGTTGCTACTTAAAAGACATTTTAATAAAGGCTTATTTGCAACTAGTTAATACTTATCCCTCCTGTTGCTCAAGTTGCCAGTTTTCAAAAGCCACACAGTCTTCTACATCAAATGCACTTCAGTGTGTGACAGATGCCTTGTCTCCTTGCCCCTTGTGGTTCTTTCTTTTGGCCCTGTGTCACTATTGTGCCTTATAGTTATACAGGGGCTGATATAAGGAACCAGAGAGTACAGAAGAGGAGCAGACATCAGTTGTAAAGTGTTGCAGTAGAGTGTTCAGTTTTCAAGGTTCATTCAACCATGATGACAAACCCCATCATGTGGCCAAGAAAAACATACTTCAGAGAAAGCTCCAGATTGATTGGGCTTTACATGGTGCCTGTTAGGACACCTGTTATGCATCATAGCACCATTCAATACTGTGAGCTGGTATTACCCATTTTCCCCACGCAGTACTAAATCTAAGGATGGAAAACATGTGATTTCTTATCTCCACAAATAGAGAAATCCCTGAACCAGACCTCATACCAGCAATGGCAGCCTCAGCCACTGGGTGAGAGTTTTAGCTTTGAGAGATAACAGCTGCCCTAACAGGTTGCTTTTAAGTTTTGGATTCTCTTTTAATCCACAGGTGAATGACTCAAGGTTTTTAAACATCGTGTGAACATATTGAAGCATCTCTTCAAAGTAACTAATACATCTTTATAACTAAGCTGGTTGTATATGCATATCAAATACTGAATACCAACAGGACACTATTACTGGAAGTTTTACAACATCATTACAATACACAGAGAAGCCTTTTCTTTTGTGTTATGCTTTCAGTTATTCTACAGACTGCCTGTGTCTGTGCAGCATGGAACACTGATTGCAAAAACACAGCTATTAATCAGTTTTATAGTGATGTGCAACACATCTCTTCATATGCATCTAACACTACTCAAATAGTATATTATCATTATTACTATTGATTTTCATATCACAGTGTGACAAATGTCATAGTGTATCATTTATCTACTTTATGCTCAGGTTAGAAAATCTCATACACACAAAAAAGGTTTCCATTTCTCATTCTTGTGATTACGCTTAGATGCCAAGAAAGTCAACCCATGACAGTGAGTTGTTGAGTTGCAAACATTTGATAGTAGAATAATATAGAGCTGCGGGAATGTACAAAGTAGCAAAGGCTGCGAATAAGCTGAAATACAATGAGTTGTAGTGTGTATCAGTGGCGGACTGACCATTTGGAAACGTGGGCACTGCCTGAGGGCCCGGGGTCAGTAGGGGCCCCATGAGATGCCCCTGTTACCTTTTTCATAGGCTTTTTTGAGTTTGGGCAAGGACACAGGGGCCCCATGATACCCTATTGCCCGGGGGCCCCATGAGTTGTCAGTCCGCCCCTGGCGTGTATATACAGTATATATAAGGTCTGCCCAGAAAGTATCCATCCATGTAATATGGAAAAAAATAGGGACTTTTATTGAAGAAGATACAAGAAACATTGTACAGAGAACAATGATGCCTCTGTCCCCTTCAAAATAGGTAAACTTGGGACCTCACACAGTTCTCCTCAGAATTTTCCTCCACTGTACAAAACACAGTGCAAAATCCTTTGCTGCATTCATCATCAGATGCCTTGTCATATTATTCAGAATCTCAAGGTCTCTCGACTTAAGTTTTGGAAAAAGCCAGATGACAGAGTCCCCCCAGAACGTGAATCACTTTAAACAGATTCTTGATAAAGATAAATAAGGATTTTTTCCTGTTTTGTTCTATTTGTTTTGATTTCAATCTTTTCAAATAAAACTGACAACAATTCATAATATTAAGAAAGACCTACTGGTTGGACTGCCTTTTTCACAGGGGAAGGTGGTTGAGCCTCACTTGAGCTAACTTTCACATATGTTGGATTTGGTGGGCAATGTCCTGAGAAATTGGAAAGATGGAGAACATGTGAAAACAGTTTTGTTGCAGGCCACTGTAATCCAGACAGAAACAAACTGTCAGTTCACAGAGATTCAGCACAGATGGCAAAGATCCAGAAGGCCACAGCAGCTCAGAAAGAAAATAAATCGCCAGTTTGCAGAGGCCTATTAAGTCCATCAAGAGCTCCTCAAGGAGGTTGCCTAACATCTTGTGGGTTTAAGGAAGGACATAAAATGGTGCTTTCCAGCTATTTACCTGCAAAAGATAACAACTGCAAATGGTGTGAATGACTATCTCACAATGTTTGAGTGGATTGCTTGCATGTGAGGGATGACAAGCTGTATGAGATATGGGACTGTGGGATGCTAGCACCTTTTATGATGGTGTCAGGACTCGGGGGTCGGGGGGGGGGGATATGTCATGAAATCAGAGGCTGCCAAAATAAGGATGGGGGGAAAACTGAACTCTTGGCACAGGGCATGTGTGGGTGGGTGGGGGGGGCTTAATGGGTGGGGGGGGGGTGGTTGTATAGTGGGGGGGTCATGATGTTTGGATTTGATATACCTTCATAGGAAAGGGGTAGGAATTACCTTGGGGGGGGGGGTAAGATTGTTGAGTGTGGGGGGTTGTTCATTGGGGGGCTACTCACAGATGGGGGGCACTTTGTGGCCAACATTAGGGGGGGGTTTGTGGGGTGGGGGGGGGGGTGGGGGGGGTTTGGTGGTTGAACAGGGTGCTGTTGTGAATGCATCAGTGGGGGGGTGGGGGTTTTAGGCGGGGAGTGTGCATTGGAAAACCTGGTGGGGGGTTGGGAGTTGGGGGGCACTGTGGTTGGATGGACAATTACAATTTTGGGGTGGGATGTTGGGGGGTGGGGGTGGAGGGGGGGAGGGGTGGTGGGTTTGGGGGGGGGGTGTAGTTGGGGGTGGGGGGTGTGTAGTGGGACTAGGTGTGGGGGCTAGGGTGGTAGGAATTGGTTGGTGGGGGTGTGGGTTGGGGGGTGGGGCTCTTTGTGTGGTTAAGGGGGTTTGTGGGTGGGGGTTTGGGGGGTGGTGATGGGGTTTGGGGGGTGGGGGGGGGTATGTGCGGGGGGTATTAGTGGGGGGTAATGTTGGGGGTTATGGGGGGGGTTATTTAGTGGGCGGGTGGTTTGGTGTGTTGGGGGAAGGGGGGGGGGGGGTTTGGCAGGGGTTTGGTATTGGGTTAGTGTTTGGGGGTGGGGGGGTTTGGGCTGACCAGTGGGGGGGTGGTGGGGTTTGTGGGGGGGGGGGGGGGAAGTTTTGTGTAAATTGGGGGTTGGTAATGGCTATTAGGGGGTGGGGAGGGGGGGGGGGGGGGTTGGGGGGTGGGGGGGGGGGGGTTGTTTGTGGGGGGGGGGGGGGGGGGGGGGGGGGGGGGGGGGGGGGGGGGGGGGGGGGGGGGTGTGGGGGGGGGGGGGGGGGGGGGGGGGGGGGGGGGGGGGGGGGGGGGGGGGGGGGGGGGGGGGGGGGGGGGGGGGGGGGGGGGGGGGGGGGGGGGGGGGGGGGGGGGGGGGGGGGGGGGGGGGGGGGGGGGGGGGGGGGGGGGGGGGGGGGGGGGGGGGGGGGGGGGGGGGGGGGGGGGGGGGGGGGGGGGGGGGGGGGGGGGGGGGGGGGGGGGGGGGGGGGGGGGGGGGGGGGGGGGGGGGGGGGGGGGGGGGGGGGGGGGGGGGGGGGGGGGGGGGGGGGGGGGGGGGGGGGGGGGGGGGGGGGGGGGGGGGGGGGGGGGGGGGGGGGGGGGGGGGGGGGGGGGGGGGGGGGGTGGGGGGGGGGGGGGGGGGGGGGGGGGGGGGGGGGGGGGGGGGGGGGTTGGGGGGGGGGGGGGGGGGGGGGGGGGGGGGGGGGGGGGGGGGGGGGGGGGGGGTGGGGGGGGGGGGGGGGGGGGGGGGGGGGGGGGGGGGGGGGGGGGG